CACACAAAATTTTCTCTAATCAGAGCTAGGAGATACACATAATAGATATATATATCAAGATAAAGCATATTGACACTTTGACAATATTACACACAAGAGAAAATAGAAAAATCCCTTAAAATTGGGCACCAAACCATGGTCTCATTCACTCATGTCATTTTGGGTAATCTCTTTTCTTTGCTTTCTCCAACTCCATCTGTTATATAGCAAATGGTATTCTCCCCTGTTTAGAAACAAGTACAAAGAATTGATAAGATTCATAAAACCAACTCAATTCTTCAGTTTCAGTCGTAGAGATTAAACTACAAGTGTAGAATAAACACCAAAGCCAAAAAATTATTAAATCCCAAATTGGTAGATTATTTTACTGGGAAAAAACAAAGATAGGCAGGAGAAACCAAGTATCTCATTACCCATTTTGTGGTGGGCTAACGTAGGTGGGGGTTATATAATCAACACCAAACCAAAGTGCAAACATTGATATAACTAAAAGCAAATTCATCCTTCAGCATTCGAGACTGATCTGCAATTATATAATCGACACCAAACCAAAATTAGCACTTCCCATTGCACAAATTTTTAGACTGAATAAACAAACAATTTGATTAATACCCATTTTGTGGTTGACACTTGACTGTTTTGTTCCAAGTTTTAGGCTTGGTTTCTTCTACTCCTGAAGTCAGTCAAAGAAAATAGTGAAATACTGACTTTTGAAAAGCGTTTCAATGTTAGGAGAAAAAAAAAAAGCAGCTTTTTCAATTTAATCTCTACTGTTTAAAAATTTCAATTAATTAGTCCTTTATATTTTATCAATTTTCAATTATACTTTTCTCATCAGTAAATATTAAATTTGGTTTATAACAAGCTTACTTGACATAATACTCAGTAAGTTGTGGCATGAATTTAGATTAAAAATTAAACACTTAAAAAGAGATGAAAATTCTCATTTCTCCTTCAAATTTCTTAGAAGTTTGAAAATTTTTCAACTTTTCTTCTTTTATATCGAACTCAATCATTACCCATTATGTGTGATTGTCTATTATCAGATTCAAAAACTATGTTTTCAAGTTTTGGCTAGGCTTCTGCTCATGAAATCAGCCAAAGAAATATTGAAA